TGATGGGCAGAGCTCAGTAAAACTTTAATCTGCTTGACTGCTGATGGGTGAGGCTGGGTTCCCTCCCTGTTCGTTGTTTGGCCTGAGGCAATCCAACACTGAAGCCTACCTGGGCTCTTTGGTGGGGCTAAAGGCAGACTCTGGGAGGGCTCACACCAAGGAGTACTTCCCAGAACTTCTGCTGCCAGTGTCCTTGTCCCCACGGTGAGTCACAGCCACCCACCGCCTCTGCAGGAGACCCTCTAACACTAGCAGGTAGGTCTGGTTCAGTCTCCCCTGGGGTCACTGCTCCTTCCCCTGGGTCTCGATGCTCACATTACTTTGTGTGTGACCCCCAAGAGTGGAGTCTCTGTTTCCCCCAGTCCTGTCGAAGTCCTGCAATCAAATCCCACTAGACTTCAAAGTCTGATTCTCTAGGAATTTCTCCTCCCGTTGCCGGACTCCCAGCTTGGGAAGCCTGATGTGGGGCTCAGAACTTTCACTCCAGTGGATGGACTTCTGTGGTATAAGTGTTCTCCAGTCTCTGAGTCACTCACCCAGCAGTTATGGAATTTGATTTTACTGTGTTTGCACCTCTCCTACCATCTCATTGTGGCTTCTCCTGTATCTTTGGATGTGGTGTATCATTTTTCATGAGTTCCAGTGTCTTCCTATCGATGATTGTCCAGCAGCTAGTTGTGATTCTGATGTTCTCACAAGAGGGAGTGAGAGCACATCCTTCTACTCCAGCATCTTGGTTCAGGTCTCATACAGATGTGTTCTTAACACGCCTTACCAGAATGTCACATGACCTTGTGTGTTGTCATGATCAGGACTTTATATTAAATGATGGAGAAATAGCCACTGAGCATCTAGCATGGAGACACTGTGCTACATACTCTAATATATAACCTCACTTAGTTACACAGTCTCACTGCAAAACAGGTATTACTGTCTCCATTTTGCTGACTTTGAAACCATGCCTTGGGACTTCCTTGGCAGTCCAGTGGTTAAGACTTCACCTTCCAATTCAGGGGCTGCGTGTTCCATCTCTTGTGGGGCAGCTAAGCTTCCCACATGCCTTGTGGCCAAAAAACCAAAACACAAAACAGAATACTATAACAAATTCAATAAAGACTTTAAAAATGGTCCACATCAAAAAACTCTTTAAAAAAAAAAGAAAGCATGCCTTCCTAAGACTCAAGTGGGCAAGAGGGAGAGCTAACTCAAATGCTCATGTTTTCCACACCACATCAATGACAGCAGACCTTTTCACCATAGACTAGAAGTTCACCATTTCAAGAAATACATCTACTAACTCATGCGAGTCACTAGGAAAGGTCAGAAAATATGTTACTACCACTCTGTACTCAACCACCAATTAGAAAGAATGGGATGAGGACATTTTATAGAGTATTTACAACCTTAAACATATTATTCAATGTATACTTTCCAAATTAGAGCAAGGAAAACTTGAACAGAAAAGAAAACTTCAACCACACCATTAAACCACCTTTTGGGTTATTTCTACCATGCTAGGGCATTCTGCTAGTTACACAGGTTATCTTTAAAGGCTTAATAAATTAGGGCTAGTAGATTATTATTTACTTTCTTTGGGCAACTGCTCTCCCTAACTCCAGTGACAGTGCTGACAACGAGACTGTCGACCATGGCAACACTCCCCTCTGGCTGCAGGACTGCGTCTGTGAACCACTGAACCAACCACGGTATCCATGCCTCTGGCCACTGTGGCTGATCCAAAGGTGAACACGACTCCTCTGGAGTTCCTCCCTGGAATTAATCTACAGGGTGGAGAATGCCCTCTCCTCCTGAGTTAGGAGAATGTGAGCCATGGCTGGACTGATGGCCAGGGGTCCACTCATAGAGAAATAGCCTGGCCTGGAAGTTAGGCTGGAGTACAAAGCAGGTGGGAGGGAGGGCGCTGGAAGGGGAGAGAGGGTGAGAGAGTGAGGATGAGAGAGATAAAGAGAGGAGGAGAGAGAGGAGAGGAGGAGGAGGGGCCATTTAAAAGGCAGGTGGAGGGCGGCAGGTAGAGACACACCTGACAGCCCCCTCAACCTGCCCTGCACAGCTGTGGTTAGTTAGGATTTCTGCACTCAGGCACCCACAGCCACCTTCCATCCTGCTCTTCTGTGGTTTGACCGTCTAAACAAAGTCTCTCTTTTTGCTTCCAGTGTTTGGAGTGGGGTTTTTATTACCTCCAGTGGCAAACTTAAATTACCTAAGAAAACACGTTCATTACTTTACTAGACTAAGTTCTTATTTCCGTGTCTGCGTCAAATACAATGTGACAAGTCAAATTAGCAAATATGTATGGAAACACCAAAAGGGGGCACTGTGGCCTAGAGGCCCTGAGAGTGACACTGAAAAAGAAGACACAAAACACCATGGACGAGAAACAAAGACAAATGCAAACATGGAAGAGGTCATGGTATAAAGTAAGAGCAGTACAGGACTATGAAAATATGCAGCCAGTACATATCACAGGAGAAGAGGAGGGAACACTCAGGTTGGGGAGAGCATCCCATCTGAAGCACATGTCACTTGAAGCCTTGCTCACACTGACATCGGTGTGTCAGGGGTTTAATCCTTCCACTGGCTGCACCCTGTGTCCTGTACATGTCTGGGGGCATTGGAGCATTCCTGAAACACCCTTTCACCTAACTGCAGAGCACGTGCCAGCAAGCTTACACCAGGGCAAGGCTGCCTTCAAGGGTGGGCGTTTGTGCAGCACACAGGGCCCCCTCTCAGGGCTCTGCACTTGGTTTAACAGTTTGCTGTCTTGAAATTGTTAATACTTCTTGAATAACAGGCCTGCCGTTTTTATTTCACACTGTTTCCTTGAAATTTTGTGGCTGGTTTTCCACTAAGGAAAGGGACAAAATTTTGCTACAAACAATTCAGACTAACAGTCTTACTTTTCAAACCAGTCTCTTTGCCAAGAGACGTAATATAGTTTGGAAGTCAGAGGGCAAAGATGCTCTATCACCTGCCACGTGTTCTTCCTTAGCCTCTCATTAAAAGCAAATGATTTAGGAAAATGAGAAGTGTGCAGTGGAGAGCACCTGTCACATGCCAGTTCACAGCACGGCCAAGTTGAAAGTGAAGTCACCAAGGGTGACTCAAAAAGCCCATCGTAATTTTTTTTTAGCAAAGGATGAAGTATAAAAAAAGGATTGGGTTGATTTTATGAGATATTCAGTGGGCATGTCCAATGCATCAACTATCATAAACAGTGGACTGTTATCCATAGTGTTGCCTGGTAACACAACTCTATCTCAGAGAGCACAGGCTGTAAATGGCTGGTCCTTCCCGACATCACCTCCACGGGGTCCTCTCAGCAGCTTCCCTACAAGCCACGCAGTAATGGGAGCTCAAATGACAGTCGCCCTGCCATCTCGCGCCAGGACCTCCAGAGCCACCTCCACAGGGACTGCGGCCTCTGCTGCAATTCACTTCCTCATCATGTGCCCTCAGGGCAGCTGCCCCCCAACACCAGTCTCCTCACTCCTGCCCTGTCCATGCCTATATCCCACCATGTCCACTCTCATCAGGATCATCTCAGCTCCCTCGCAAAGTGAAACACTGATCTTTCCGTTTTGTTCCTGAGTGTGAACGAGCCCCAGTCCCTTTAGGGGCCCAGGCTTAGATCAGAGCTGAACAAGGCACGTGGGGAGTAGTGGCATCAGGAAGGGAGGTTGTCTGTGACATGCTGACATTAAAACCAGTTTCCTCCTCACCGTTGTCCAAACTGAGCAAGCCTCCTGGGTGAAAAACTGGAAACATACAGCTAAGTCTGAAAGAAATGAACGGTGGTCCAAATGTGCCCGTGTTTACACGATTCTGCCTCCTGTCTCACCCGCATGGACTTCTAACATCTCATCTTTTATGTTAACTCCTGGTGATGTGTTTTGAGGTAGAATAAGCTCAGTGTTTTCCTTCTGCTCAGACTGCTCTCTTTTTGCATCCATTGTTCGCTGAAGCAGACTCCCTTCTCTGATGGAGCCTGGGTTCTAGGTAGGTAATTCTGTGAGTGAGCATAAGCCAGGCAGAGTCCACATGCTCAGGACGTGTCCGCAATTGACTTCATCTGATTTAAGGATGGATGAGAATCTACTTACAGATGAAGACTAGGCAGGCGAGCGTGGTTTTGTATGTAAGCAAGACCAAAATGAAGATGATAAGCAGAAAACTGTGGAATTTTGTGCTCTGATGAATAAAGTCCCTTAGGAGGTAAGTTTTCTAAAGCAAAGTCCTTGTTAGGGCCAGGATGTTGGAAAGCACACCAACTGGTTCAGGATTAAGGTTTGGTTTCCTTTTCCTTTTTCCTTCTCCCTCCAGATCCAGCTACTTCAGGATGCTGCCATGCATGGGCCAGCCTGCTTCCTGACTTGGTAACAGGACACCTCTGTGACCTTCATAATCAAGTGACAGAGACTCTATTTCATGTACTTAAGAAGAGAAACTTCCCTTCATTCCTGAAAGAATTTACTTTAGGAAACGTGATACGAGCTGATAAGATGCTTGAAAAATCTTTTAAAAAATATTGATCATCAGTTTCTTGGTGACACCTGGGAGAAATTTTGATATGAATGGTGAAATTTTGACAGTATCTAATGAATTGAGCAAAAATAAAACCAAACTGATTCGTCTTACCTTATGGTCTTTTGAAGTGAGTGGGTTTGTCATCTCGGCAGTGTTCTTCCACTCCTGTTCTTACCTTGTTTGCTTCTGTGTGGCCTCCTCATCACAGAAGCTGTTTTACCAGAAGGTGGTCCTGGCAAACCATCACTCTAGCTGTCCTTTGTAGCATCACAACCATTGTGCTGACTTTTCTTACTCAGGCTGCAAATACTGTCCGATCTCAGCACCCTCTCAGACACGACACCCAGAGTTAGAACGTAATTTGTCATTCAGGCTATAAAAGTTGGCAAGCCCTAATTGGCCACACCCGAGAAAACATGTTTCAAAATGCCACTGTGTAAATGAAAAACACCTACCTCTCTTGTAGAATAAGTTTGTTTTCTTTCTTCCAAAAGTCTTTAAAGTCGGAGCTGAATTCATGCCAGATACTGAAGAAAACATTTGGGGACACTTCCTTCTCTCCAATTTTTGGTCTCATGAAGAAATAGGCTGTAGTCTCCAAAAAGCTGTCAAAGCATGCACACACACACACAAACACACACACATGTATAAAAGCTATGACTACTTTCCAACATGGGATATTCTTTCCCCATCCAAATGATGATTTCATTCATGCAGTTATTATTACCAAGAGGACTCAACTCCTCAGGCAACAACAGTAGTTCTCTTAAGGTTTCATGTTAGGGTTTTTGGACTCAGATGTTAACAGCTGACAAGAGTCCTCCATATGCTGGTAGCTATCCCTGGTCCAACCATTTTCAAAATTAATCACTATGTGTCCAACCTGTTTCAGAAATGAACCTGTAATCAAGTTGGGACATAAGGGAAGTGTTGGGTCTATACTTTCCTTCTAGACTCTAAACAAATGAAATATCAGCTCTTTGTCCCCAAACTAATATGTCTCTATATGTGTATTATACTGCTTCTATACTATGGGCTTCCTACATTGCTGGTGGGAAAAAAAAGCAACAGCCCCAGGAGATACTGACAAAGGCTCCCACTGGAGATCATGGCAGCACCAATGAGTGGGTACCAGCAGGGCGGCCAGCATCGTGACAGTGGGTGGCAGTGCCCATCTCCAGAAGGTGCCATCGAGGCTGCTTCATATTACAACTACATGACACTCAGAAGGGTTTCAAAGTGTTATTTGACAAAGAACATACAACTAGTAAGTGGTAGATTTATGCTGCACGTTGACCTGGACCTCCCAGCCTCCAGAACTGTGAGAAGTAAATGTTCACTGTTTAGGCCACCCAGTCTATGGTATTTTCTTATAACAGCCAGAACTAAGTCAAGGACAAATGATCTAGATTCTTCAATACATAAATGTAAAGGGGAAAAAAAGTCTATTATAAAGACTTAAGAGATACTGTCTGATTTTAATGGTTTGAACTTCTTTATATATTGCTTCAAACAAACTGTAAGAAAATAAAATCATTTCTTACATATATGAACTAATAGGACTTTTGGACAGAGACTGGGTATTTGGTGACATTAGGGATTATTATTATTTTTAGTGGTAAAACTGGTGCTTGTTATTTTTAAAGGGGATTTTTTAGCAATACATACTAAAATATATATGGATGAAATTATACCTGTTGAGGATTTGCTTCACAAACAATATGGGAGGCGGCAAGTGGGCAGGGGTGTAGATGAAACCAAGTCAGGAACTGCTGGGTGATGAGTGCATGATGATCACTGTACATTTTGTTTACCATTTCTAAATCACAGCCAAGTTCCTCACCTGCATGGTCTTTAATCTACCTACCCCTACTTCCTTTAGGAAAGTATCAAATCCATTGTCTCCTATTTCCAGCATCCAAAATCTCTTATTACTAGGTTTTCCTTCTGATCCTAAGAGCATATGAAGATTTCTGCATCTATAAATATTCTCTCATCCATGCAGACTCACTGAAAGATACCATGATTTATATACAGTTGCTTTATAATTCAATGCTCCTCTGTCCTCACTTGTTTTGAAATCTGGCTTCATAGGCCACCTTCACTACTTTCTCACAAAAGTCTCTGATCTAAACCTACAACTTTTAGCAATTTCCATTCTCATGTCCTAAAATAATGGAACCATTACTGTCCTGTTTACTTGAACTTAAAAATGAGAAATTATTAACAGAGCTTTTCTTTTACTCCTTTAGATTAAACCGATGCAAACTGAATTAAGTGTATTATTTCCATTTTCCCTTTATGAAACTTTCAATTATAGGAGACAGCTGAGGTAATGATCACCTATTTCATGGCCTTACCTTGTATTAACTTCAGATTTACAGAAAAGTTGAAAAGATAGAGTTCAAGTATGGCCTCCACTCACCTTCTCCTAATATTAACATCTTACCCAGAAACAGTACGCTTAACACTGAAAGTGAGAGGAACTCTCTTGGCAGGAGCTACTGCAAACTGCCTTCTGAGTAAAGTAAGAGAAACTGTGTCAATGAGTAGGGACAACAGGTAAGGTGGTCACCCCACTGTGGTGCTGCCTGCTGGCCCCAAGACACACACACACACACACACACACGTGCACGTGTGTGTGTGTATTTAATTGAAGTATAGTTTAAGTATAGTATTGTGCTAGTTTCAGGCTTACATCATAGTGATTCAGTTATTTTTTTCAGATTCTTTTCCATTATAGGTTATTATAAAATATTGAATATAGTTCCCAGTGCTATGCAGGGAACTTATAGGTTCTTGTTGCTAATCTATTTTATGTATAGTAGTTTTGTTCCACTTGTAGATGTATTTTGGATGTGTTTGTGTAGGGAGGTGAGCTCCATGTCCTCCTACTCTGCCATTTTGATCCCTCTCTGAGACTGATATACTGACATCAGTTTTAATTTATATAAAGGTCCTGTGTTGTCTCATAATTATGTGGGGTGAGGGAATGAGGGAAAGGAACTGAAATCATACAAAGTAGGCACTCTGACCACCATGGAATTAAATTAGAAGTCAATAACAGTAAAATTAACTGTCCAAATCATTTCTTTATCCTTTCTTCTAGTTTTATTGGGATATAATGGACACACAGCACTGTATCTGTTTAAGGTGTACAGCAAAGTGATTTGATTTACAAACATCATGAAGTGACACCACAGTAAGTATAGTGAACACCCACCATCTCATATAGATACAAAATTAAAGAAATATTAAAATTTTTTTTCCTTGTGATGAGAATGCTTAGTATACAGCAGGATTAATTGTATTTATCATGTGGTATATTACTTCCCTAGAATGTGTACCTTTTAATTAACCTCATCCAATTCCCATCCCCCCACCCCCTGCCTTTGGTAACCACAAATTGGTTCTCTTTTTCTGAGTTTGTTTGCTTGCAGTATAATTGATTGACAACACTATGTTAGGTCCTATTACATGACACAGTGATTCAGTATTTCTATACATACCAAAATGATCACCACCATAAGTCTAGTTACACAGAAATATATTACATAGTCATTGATATAGTTATTGACTATATTCCCCACACTGTACACTTCATACCTGTGACTCATTTATTTTGCAACTCTAAGTTTGTACCTATTAATCTCCCTCACCTATTTTTCTCTTCCCCCAACCTTTCCCTTCTGGCAACCACCTGTTTTTTCTCTGTATCTATGACTCTGCTTCTCTTTGTTATGTTGTTCATTTGTTTTGTTTTTAAATTCCACATATAAGTGAAATCATATGATATTTTTCTTTCTACATCTGACTCCTTTTGCCTATGTCCCCAGGGTCAGCTCCAGTTGCCTCCTGCTTCTCCAGGAAGCTCTACAAGATCAGCAGGTGGGCCTGACCCTGGCTTCTTTCAAATTACTGCTCTATTTCCCACAGCCTTCTGGGTCTCCTGAAAGTTAAGTCTCACTGGTCATCAAAGCCAAACATTTTGGGGGAGAGGGAAGATGGTGGAAGAGTAAGACGTGGAGATCACCTTCCTCCCCACAGATACATCAGAAATACATTTACACGTGGAAGTGCTCCTATAGAACACCCACTGAACGCTGGCAGAAGACCTCAGACTTCCCAAAAGGCAAGAAACTCCCCACGAACCAGGGTAGGGAAAAAGAAAAATCAGAGACAAAATAATAGGGAAGAGGACCTGCACCAGTGGGAGGGAGCCGTGAAGGAGGAAAGGTTTCCACACACTAGGAAGCCCCTTCAAGGGCGGAGACTGCGGGTGGCAGAGGGGGGAAGCTTCGGAGCCACGGAGGAGAGCGCAGCCACAGGGGTGCGGAGGGCAAAGCGGAGAGATTCCCGCACAGAGGATCGGTGCCGACCAGCACTCACCAGCCCGAGAGGCTTGTCTGCTCACCCGCCGGGGTGGGCGGGACTGGGAGCTGAGGCTTGGGCTTCGGTCAGAGCGCAGGGAGAGGACTGGTGGCGTGAACACAGCCTGAAGGGGTTAGTGCACCACGGCTAGCCAGGAGGGAGTCCAGGGAAAAGTCTGGACCTGCCAAAGAGACAGGAGACTTTTTCTTCCCTCTTTGTTTCCTGGTGCACGAGGAGAGGGGATTGAGACCGCTGCTTAAAGGAGCTCCAGAGATGGGCGCGAGCCGTGGCTAACAGTGCGGACCCCAGAGACGGGCATGAGATGCTAAGGCTGCTACTGCCGCCACCAAGAAGCCTGTGTGCGAGCACACAGGTCACTATCCACACCACCGCTCCTGGGAGCCTGTGCAGCCCGCCACTGCCAGGGTCCCGTGATCCAGGGACAACTTCCCTGGGAGAACGCACGGCGCACCTCAGGCTGGTGCAACGTCACGCCGGCCCCTGCCGCCACAGGCTCGCCCCGTACCCCTCCCTCCCCCTGGCCTGAGAGAGCCAAATCCCCGAATCAGCTGCTCCTTTAACCCCGTCCTCCCTGAGGAAAGAACAGACACCCTCAGGCGACCTACACGCAGAGGCAGAGACAAATCCAAAGCTGAACCCCGGGAGCTGTGCGAACAAAGAAGAGAAAAATTTCTCCCAGCAGCCTCAGGAGCAGCGGATTAAATCTCCACAGTCAACTTGATGTACCCTGCATCTGTGGAATACCTGAAAAGACAATGAACCATCCCAAATTGAGGAGGTGGACTTTCAGAACAATATATATAATTTTTGCCCCTTTTGCACTTTTTGTGAGTGTGCATGTATATGCTTCTGTGTGAGATTTTGTCTGTATGGCTTTGCTATCACCATTTCTCCTAGGGTTCTGTCCATCTAAGTGTTTTGTTTTGTTTTACTTAAAAATTTTTTTCTTAATAATTATTTTTTATTTTAATTACTTTATTTTTTATCTTACTTTATTTTATTTTATCCTCTTTCTTTCTACTTTTTCTCCCTTTTATTCTGAGCCATGTTGATGAAAGGCTCTTGGTGCTCCAGCCAGGAGTCAGTGCTGTGCCTCTGAGGTGGGAGAGCCAACTTCAGAACACTGGTCCACATGAGACCTCCCAGCTCCACGTAATATCAAATAGCGAAAATCTCCCAGAGATCTCCATCTCAACGCCAAGACACAGCTTCACTCAACGATCAGCAAGCTGCAGTGCTGGACACCCAATGGCAAACAACTAGCAAGACAGGAAAACAGCCCCATCCATTAGCAGAGAAGCTGCCTAAAATCATAA